CCCGTACGATCAGTATGATTTTTTAAAGATCTCCCAAAATATGTGTGTCATAAGTTAGTCAATTACAATGATACTCTCTCGAACGCAATACAAAAAAAAAATACAAACTTCAATTTACAAATTATTTCATGCTGAATTTGATTTGAAGTCTTCATTAGTCTGGAGTTTGATTATCCTAAAATGTTAGTCCAAACAAGAGCAAAAATAATTCTTCCAAAAAGTGTTAGGAGAATGTAATACTTAAAACAATAATATTTGGAATCATCAAAACTATACAAGTTGCAAAAACGTAAAACCTGCAAATAGCAACTCTCTTAACAATCACTCATCATGACCATTATATAGGGAGGGGTCCAACAGTAAGATAAGGGATATCTCTTATCAAAAGACAGATAAATGCCTCCCATATAAGAAGAGAAGAATGGATGAAAAGAGGAAAGGAGGAGACTCATACTCAATGAGGGGCCATAAACCTGAACAGGGGATCCACCTGAATAAGTCTAGGGGAAGGACTCAGCTTAATGAAGATTACAAGAAGGGGAGGTGCACCACTAAGGGGGGTATATATAGGAAAGAGGGGGAGGTTAGGGTAGTTATGAAAAAATGAGATATATAATTTTTTAAAATTTTTCTTGATCAAGCACAAATCTTGAGGAAAAATCAAGTCGAAAACTTCCAAAATTAAATTTGAGATCATCCGAATTTTAATTTCAGCCAACTTATAGTTGAGCTAAAAGTCAGAAATATGAACCCAACGACACCAAATTCGACTTAATCCAAGCTCAAATGGGTCAAAATCAAAGACCTAAAGCATTGTTGGAAGGTTCAAACCACAATTTAGTTTACCAAATAGTTTCCAAACGTGGCATGCTTATTGTTGAGTTGATCGGTTTGATGAGACGAATCTAATGAGCCCAATATCAGTGAATTTTGACATCATTAAGACCTTCAAATATCTAACGAATAGTCCACGATCAAGGGATTCAACATCGATCGTCCATCCAACCCACTCCCCATTTACCCTTAATCCTTGTTTTATTTGCGTGTCATGTCACTCTAGAAAATATATAAATAGACCACTCCTATTGAAAAGGGGCCCGAAGCCAAAGAAAATAGGAGAGAGATTGGAGATCGCTCTTGCCTTCTCGCTCCTCCTCGACCATCGCTTGGAGTTCTGCCGGAACACCACCTGACACCGGTTTTCTACTGGACCATCATCTAATGCCCGGAGATCCATCGGGCCACCACCGGATGATCGGAGTTTCGTAGGATAACCTCCTGATGCTCGGAGTTCCACCGGAGCACTACTTGACCCACAGAGTTTTCGTCGGACCACCACGTGATGCCACAGTTTCGTTGGACTATCACCTAAAGCCCTGAATTCCTCCAGACCACCATCTGTTCCTGGTGTTCCGTCGGACCACCACCTGACGCCTCAAGTTCCATCGAACCACCACATGACGCCTAGACTTCCGGTGAACAACCGCCTTACTACAACGGTCTATTTGACCCTTGGCTCATGCCAACTTTGTTCCTTTCGACCTCTATTTCCTACTACAGTCCTTCTAACCTCCATAGCCAAACAATAGTCTTTCTAACACTTGTCTCCTACTAACTACGATCCTTCCAATATCCGTCGCCTACTACAGTCATACCAACCGCCATCGCGAGACAACGATCTTTCTAACCCTTGTTCCCTACTAACTACATTTTTTTTGCCTCCGTCGCCTACTACAGTCCTTCCCACCTTCACCATAAGACAATGGTCTTTCTGACCCTCGTCTCCTGCCGACTAAAGTCCTTTCAACCTCCATCGCCTACTACGGTCCTTTCAACCTCCATCACCAGACAACTATCTTTCTGACCCTTTTTTTCTTCCTACTATGATCCTTCTGACCTCCATCGCCTACTACGGTCCTTCCAACCTCCACCACTAAATAATGCTCTTTCTAACCCTTATGTCCTACTGACTACAGTCCTTCCGACCTTCTTCGCCTACTATGGTCCTTCTGACCTCCATCTCCAAATAACAGTCTTTCTGACCGTTGTCTCATACCGACTATGGTCCCTCCGACCTTTGTCGCCTACTATAATCATTCCGACCTCCATCGTAAGACAACGATCTTTATAACCCTTGTCTTTAGCCGACTACAGTCCTTTTGACATCTATTACCTATTATGATCCTTCCAACAAACATCGCCAGATAACGGTCTTTCTGACCCTTGTCTCCTACCAACTACAATTCTTTTGACCTTCATCGCCTACTACGGTCATTCCGATCTCCACTGCTAGGCAAGAGTCTTTCTGACCCTTGTCTCTCATCGACAACGATCCTTCCAACCTTTGTCACCAATTACGGTCCTTCCAACCTCCATTGCAAGACAATGATCTTTTTAACCCTTGTCTCTTGCCGACTATGGTCCATTTGACCTCTGTCACCCAGTACGGTCCTTCCGACCACCACTGCTAAATAATGGTATTTCTGACCCTTGTCTCCTGCCGACTATGGTCCTTCTGACCTTCGTCGCCTACTACGGTCCTTCCGACCTTCATCGCCACACAACAAACTTTCTTACCCTTATCTCCTGCTGACTATGGTCCTTCCAACCTCCATCGTCTACTATGATCCTTCTGACATCCATCGCCAAACAACGGTCTTTCTAACCCTTGTCTTTTGCTGACTACGAACCTTCCGACATCCATTGCCTACTACGGTCCTTCCTACTGCCAACGCAAGGCAACGGTCTTTCTAACCCCTATCTCCCGCCGACTACAGTCGTTCCAGCCTCCCTCGCTAGACAATGGTTATTCCAACCACTATCATCATACCGCGGTCTTCTCGACCTCCGTCGCCCGCCAACTTTAGTCCTGTCAACTAAACGAACATATCAATACTGATTCTTCCTATTTCTACCATGTAATGCATTCTATATGATGTATATCTATTATATCAAGCCAAGTTCTTCCCTCATATGAAGGGCATCATTTATAATCGACTGCAAATAATAGTAGATTCTTTCAAACTAGGTCAGGCCTCGTGGTTTTTTCCTTTTTAGAGTTTTCATGTAAAACACTAGTGTCTCTTATGAATGCTGCATATTTTCTTTTATCTGCTTGTGTGTTGTATCTTCGTACAAAGCTAAGACATTAAATTTTATGTTTCTCTATCGTCGCCAATATTCCATGACGCAATAATAATAATAATGATAATAATAATAATAATAAAACTAAATAAAAAAACTAAAAAAAAATATTTTTAAAAAAAAAACCTTCTATTTGGAGTTTAATTTCAACTAACTGAAAGAGATATGGAGATGGAATGCAAGAAGATCTGGCACACTGGGTTCGATCAGCTACAGGTGATGAGAAATTGAGTTTGGTAGCTAGCAACAGTCAGTTGAGAGCAAACAAGAGGTTGGGAATTGAGCGTCTGGATTTGCGTAAGATTAGAAGAGGGCTCTGATCGGTCTTTGCGGGTGGAATAGGGCTAAGGAAGAAGAAGAGGCGGACGTACTGGTTGTGACTTGATTTGTGTGGTCGGCGCGAACAAGGCAGGCGAGTGGAGCCTTCGAACCAGAAGTGAGTAGGCATGAGGTGCGGCACAGGTGGGGCATCGACTTGGGGGAGGGCAGAGAGGAGGAAGGGTTAAGGCAATAGAGTTCGGAAGAGGTTGGCACAGTGACTGGGGCCTTCAATTTTAAGTACTGAAGCACAAATGTGATATATGCGGGATTCAATTTTAGAATATTGGCAATAAATTTTAAAAATCTTTTTCAGCTAAGCCAGCGAGCACACAGGCTTCACAACTTCTAATGCCAGCACAATTTATCTTTTCTGATGATCTAGTTGAACTCAAGCAAGAACCAACTTGTTGGTCAAGTCATGAAGTTGATTTGAATTGGATTCAAGCAAAGCAAAGGTGTTGATCCAATCATAGCTCACCTTCCCTATCTCCTCTCTCCTGCTCTTTCCATATTCCTCCCATCAAACTGTCTTCTCATTGATCATTTGGTTCCACTTGTATCAAAGAAGAAACCATTAATGCCGAAAGTCTTAACAATTAGAGTTGTGTCCAACAACATCTCAATTAGCTTCTCAATTTCTTCTTCACCACCGTCTTAATCTTCTCTGCATCCCCCAATCACCCTGCATTCACCATTCCATTAGCTAAGGCGGAAGCCCTCGCTCTTAGGTTCGAGCTCACCGAACAACTTGCAACAATCTACTAAAAGCTCAACAATCACTCATACATACATGTGCTGGGAATTAGGCGAGACCTATGTTGCACCAATACACCTATTTATGAAGGCGTGTTGTATCTGATACATCGATATACGGTTACCCCTCCGATACTCCACCGATACGTGTCAGATACGCCATAGACGTAGCCAATTAAAATACTATTTAATTTCAAAAGGATACGAGTATCCGATACACGTGTCCGTTAAAAAACAAAAAGAAATTCGAAAAAAAAGATGCGTCGTATTTACTTCCAAGACTGCGAGCAAAGTTCTCTCATTTCCGAGATGGATTTGAGTCTCTTGATGATATGAGAATATTAGAAATTACTAATCTTTCACTTGATGAACCTGAATTAAAAGCTATGATATTTATTGAAGATGATATAGAAGTCCAAAGACAAACCACTGAAGAAGCTAATCATATCATTCCTTCTATTGAATAGTTGAAACTTTATGTGCTAGACAATTTATTTTTATGCTTTTGTTGTTGTACTAGACATTTAATGCTTACTTATATTTTGATATTATAAGCTACAAGGCTACAAATGATGTTGTTGTCATTTTTTTTTGTAATTTCAAATATTATGCTTTGATTACTTTCTTAATTTTTATGTATGATTTATAAATTATGCTGCCGTACCCGTATCCTGTATTTTTAAGAAATGACGTGTCCCGTATTCGTATCGTGTCGTATCCGTGTCGCCGTATCCGTATCGGTGCAACATAGGGCGAGACCCAACTCAATTACCGAGAACAAATAAAATACAAAGAAAATCAATGCAAAACACACCGAATACTTTATATATGTACAACCTAATTGATGAGCAAAGGATTCATTCCAAACATATTTCTTACTATTTTCTAAAGCAACTTTTTAGTACAAAAATTTACAGTTGAAAAAAAATTATACTAAGAAGTTCTTAAAAGAAAAAAGAAACTTGTCCCAAATAAAGCCTAAGTCTTTGTAAGATGCTTCTTTCTATAACAAAAATTAGGCTCCTCTGTAACAAAACATGGACATTGCAATTCGATCTGATGTAGCACAATTTTTGAACTCAGTCAAGACCATCTGGTTGCTGGAATCAGAAAGTTGATTTGAGATGAATTCAACAATGATCCTATCAGAACTCTCTCTCTCTCTCTCTCTCTCTCTCTCTCTCTCTCTCTCACCTTCCATGAAACTTAATTTTCTTAAAGATCATTTGGCTCCATTTGCAAGAAAAAAAAAATACCATGAATGCAAAACTTCTTAACAGTTACTGCTGTGTCCAACTACATCCCAAGTATCTTCTCAACTTCTTCTTCTTTATTGCCTTCTTAATCTTCTCTGCATCTCCCAATCTCCCTGCACTCACCATTAGACTAGCCAGAAGACACAAGCTCCCAGTGTTGTCAGGCTCAAGCTCACTCAAATGCCTCGCAGCAATCTGTGAAAGCTCGACATCCCCATGGAGCTCACAAGCCCCAAGCAATGCTCCCCAAACAAAGAAATCTGGCTCCATTGGCATCCCATTGATCAAATCATAAGCCTCAAATAGATTACCAGCTCTTCCAAGAAGATCCACCATGCAAGCATAATGCTCCAGCCTGGGTACAATCTGGTGCCCTTCCTGCATAAATCTAAACAAATATTTCCCAAGTTTTACCTTTCCTCCATGGCTACAAGCAGTTAAGATGGCAGTGAATGTTAAATGATCAGGCACTGAACCATAGATTTTCATTTTATAGAAAAGTTTTATAGCTTTCTCACAGCGCCCATGATTTGCGTGAGCAAAAATCATGGAGTTAAATGATACCGTATTCTTGACAAGCATATGGTCGAATACCTTATCTGCGTCGGATATGACCCCGCACTTCGAATACATATCCACCAGCGAACTGCTCACAAACAAATCAGCTTCGAATCCGTTAACAATGGCGTAGCCATGTATCTCTTTACCTCTTCTCAGATTCAAAACGTTGGCTGAAGCCGGTAATAGACTGCTAATAGTAGCTGAGCTCGGCCGAATTTGGGCGACCTCCACCATTTGTTGAAACAAAGCAAAAGCCTTTCTGTAATTGAAATTGCGTACAGACCCAGAAATAAGAGACGTCCAAGAGAATACATCAGCTTCAATTCCAGTTATTTTCATTGAATCAAAAAGCTTCAAAGCCATTTGTTCATTACCCGATTGGGCGAACCCAGAAATTAAAGAATTCCAAGTAAATAAATCCGGTTTTGGACCGCAAGATTGCATTTTTCGGAATAAGGACATACCTTCTTCGAGTAATCCATGAGAAGCGTATCCCGAGACAATGGAGTTCCAGACGACCAAGTCCTTCTCAGGCGTTACATCAAACACTTGTCGGGCGTTTTTTATTCGGCCGCATTTGCTGTAGAACTCGATTAGAGCGCTGCAAATAAAGGGGTCTGAAGATAACAATGATCGGATAGATGAACTGTGGAGGGATCTGCCGATTCTGGAATCGAAAATTTTGGAAGCTGAGCGGAGGACGCTGGGAAAGATGAAGCGGCTAGGGGGTAACCCTTCGTTTTGCATTTGGCGGAAGAGGCGGAGGGTTTCTTCGTAGAAACCTTTGCGAGAGTAATGGCTGATAATGGCGATCCATCGGCTGAGGTGAGAGGAGTTGGGCATAGCAGGGTTGGTTTCTGGTTGAGTCGAGGCATATAAAGATTAAAGATTTTTTTTTTTCTTTTAAATTTTTATTATTGTTTATTGGCCCTCAATGGAGGGAGAAATTTTATCAGCAAATAAATAATACTTACTAAATACTCATTAAATATATAATAAAAAAAAATACGTAGAAAAAATAATATATCAAAAAATACACTGTAAAATAAGCAGTAAATACGCAGCATCCGAATCATACTCTGTATTCGGATTGCGTACAAAATTGATGATTTAGTTTTTAAAGATTGTTTATCTTAATTTTCGGATTGGAATTACAAATATCTAAGCTTGATAAAGGGTACTTACGTGCATGCCTTTGCTTCACTTGATTCAGGACAGCTTTGGGCGCCACAGTATGGGTCATAAGATAGGAAGTGGCGGGAAGGAGAGCAGTTTTAGAAGGGTGGAATGACCTGCAAAAGAAACGTGACGAACGACCCAAGTATTAAGCTTGTGCTTAGCTTTCAAGATAACATTGGAGTAGTCATAGGTGATGAGATTTTGCATAGCTAAGCAAACGCCCAAATAGTCTATTTCCTCCACACGATGGAATCAATTGGCCTTAGCAACACAATGTTTCTTCCAATCAGTTGTGGCCTTGCTGAACATGACCGCGAACTTCAATTTGTTGACTTTATGGCCTATCCGCGAGCAGTAGTCAAGCAAATATTCCAGTAATAGACTTGGCATACTTCATCAAAGCTTCATCAAAGAGGAGAATGTCATATGCATACAAGAGATGTGAAACACGGGGAAGGAGTAATACTTATGCCCAGCAACTGCCCACATTTCTGCATAGCTTTGGAAAGAAACTCAGAGCATAAGATGAAAAGGTACAATGACAACGGAGAACTTGGGAGGTTGGCTAGCTCATAGACTCATAAACCTATTACATATCAAGCTTAATAGCAAGAAGCCCCGACTTTACAGTAGTGCTTAAACTTGTTAATAAGCTCCTGAGCATGTAGACAATGGTGGGATATAGAACATTAGGAGACTAAAGCACCTTGGTCTTCAGAGATGAGAGGAAGAAAGAGGCATTAATTTGATGGACAATTATCTTGGCCAGAATTTTATAAATTGATTAGCATAAACTTATGGTTCAAAACTGGATGAGGAGTCGGCTAGTTGCTATTTGGTTATTAGAACAATCAATGTTTCTTTCTAATAGGGTGACATGCATCCATATTGGAAAAATTATAAAATGGTAGCACACATATCAGGCTTAACCACCTCCCAAATTTCTTGAACGAGGATGAAGTGATTCCAGTAATACCTAAAGCTCTGTTATTTCATGAAGAGTGAAGAGCATCTTTACCTCACCTTCAGTAACCATACAGTCTAGCATAGAATGGCACGATGTGGGAATCTAGTCACGGGCGGAATCAGCCCTAATTTTCAGGGGGGGCAAACTTATAAGACATATATGTCGATGGTCCAAAGGGGCAGTGCCCCCTGGCAGGATTCGACTTGCCAGGTTTCTCGCCCTTAAAGAATTATATATATATATATATATATATATACAGAGAGAGAGAGAGAATATTGCATGTATATCATATATAGAGAGTGCAGAAACATTTGCAACAATTTACAGAGCTTTATTGTAATAACGTTAAATAAAATTTCAACATATATATAGACACAATTTTGAGATTGAGCACAACAAGCCAACTGTAGAATTTGTTGCTTTATTACTCAAATAATATATAAATTTTAAATAATATTAATTATGATGTAAAATTGTAATTTTTGTTGCTTTATTACTCAAATGATTTATAAATATATCCAAATGTATTAAATTAGTTGATTTTCAAGACATCTGCTCAGTTCTTTGTAAAAGCTAAAGCTTTTTCTCTTTCCCCACTTCTCATTTCTCATATGGAAGCCATGATGATGAAGTCTTCTCTTATGCTTTATGTTATTGTCCTGCTTCTTAGCTTTGCATTGGTTCAAGCACAAGATGGAGATTGCTCCATCGCCGGCAATGAAGAACGGAGCTGCTGGGTTTTTGTCGGAGCTCCTTTGCCCACTCTTGTTCGCTTCTCTTATATCCTATGCCCTGTTTGCTAGGACTAGGTTGACATCGGAATGAAGGGGCTTAGGGAAATTATTTTTTTGGGGAGGGGGGGGGGGCAACTGCCCACCCTCACGCTAACTTGACATATAGGTCGACCGCGGGACGAAGAGGCTTAGGAAAAAAAAAAATTCCCGCGGGGTGGGGGGCAATTGCCCCCCCTCAAGCCTAATGTGGTTTCGCCCTTGAACCTAGTGATTGTTGACCTCCGCATAATATCCAAAACAAGCATAAGATAAAAAATATATACAAACATGCTGAAATGCGTTGCCCATCCCGATTTCCTGCCAAAAATCTCGCTCAAGTCCTGCAATCTGCAAACGGCACCAATCTGTCGCGTCCATTCCCTTATCTCGCTTAAATGAATAATGTTTTAACCTCCAAAACCCCGCTTTTGACGCTTGAGGCTAGACAGCGGACAACCCTACGCGCTCTCATAACACCATGGGAGGGAACCCGGTGCGACGCTTGCGACAAGGCGGGTAGGCCACGAAACGCTCTCGTAGCGTGATGAGGAAGAAATTAAGTACCCTTAAGCTCTCTTGTAGCATGGCGAGGGAAAGAAAATTGCACATTTTCAAATAGGAATCCCAAAGACCTTTAGCGCTCTTGTAGCATGACGGGGATTGAAGAAATATGATTGTGGTGTCGCCTGACACATACCTGAAGCGCTCATGTAGCGTGAAGGGAAATGTTATGACTCCTGAAATTTTTCCTAAATGAGGTAGACGTCAGGAGGCTGCCAAAATTCGTAGCAAATAGAGGACCTGAATTTGAAATAATTACAGAGGACAAAAGTGAACAGTAGTGGACTTGACTTGAGCCAAAATGCACATGACCTAGTTTGAATTTGAAATTGAGACTGCACGGGACGCACAAATTTAAATTTAACATATGAAAAATGACATAGTGCTAAAAATGAAGTTATGATTTGCAAAATAATATGCTCTAAATTAAATACAAATGAACATATAAAAGGCTGGTGGTGGAAAAGAGATTTGTAAAAGCTACTTACTTATAAGTGGTGGTGAAATAGTAAACAACTTAATCGGATTTCATGCCATGATATGATGCTCTTAATGGATAACATGACTTGCTTGCAATGATCAACAATAATCAAAGAGGGCATGTGAACTAATGGCAAATAAGTACAAGTAAGAAGAGTTGGTATGCAATGAACATATGAACCTACATGTTGATAATGACACTTCCGACAAGCATATGCAAGAATGCCACCTAAGGGTATATGCAAAGGGACTTCAAAAAATGTGGTATCAATTAGTCAACTCAAATATGTGAATGAATACATTTACCTGCCTCCTTGTAGTAGTAAAGGATGTACTGCAAAGACCAAAGACTGGAGCAATATGCATAAGGAAAGCAATAAGCAATTCACAAGCTATGGCATAAGACCATCATATCCGTAATACTCATATAAGCTGACAGAAGATGTCTACAAGCTCTCAAAAAGAGGATTGTAAACATTAAAATGGCAGTTGCCCGCACAACTGATCGGCGCTAAACATTTTGAAACACCCCCACGCATACACCTAAACATGTATATATACAAACATAGAAGTGTACATGCAAGCATATAAACCTGTATACATGTGTGAGTATACACCCGCATGGGCCCCGACGAGCGTGTTTTATTTACACACGTAATGTCTAAGTATGCGGGGTGGGTAAGGAAATGAACTTCATTTCGAGCATGATCCTTCTATGTGACTAGATAGGAGTCTACACTTATCAAACAGTTAAACAAATACATGGTCATGACTTCGACTGAGATATTTGTTTAATACATTTATATTAGGTCTTTAAGGCCTATTAAAAATTAAAGTCTATTAATAAAAGAATACAACAAGCAATAAAACTGATCCTTTGTAATCAAACTGACATAGTCAATATGGCTCAATCCACAAATATTGCATTAAACTCAATTATATAATACTCCTTATGTATACAACTATCACCCTTTATGTTTAAATATTTCTCCATGTGCATAGTATCATTTGCATCATGTTTAGATCATGGGGGCGTACTTGGGTTTCATGATACATCAGCCCCTAGATTAGCATCAATCTCCAAGTACTATAAAGTAATGAGAGCTTCCATAGGAATCCAAATGAGCTTCTACAATTGAGCCTAATTGGAAAGCGGGTCCATAGCATCAGAAGCAAAGTCATTCGTGTCATTATAGCTCACCAACAGTTTTCTTTTTGATTGACTAGATGCACCTCTAGTAGCTATGGCCTAGCGAGGCAACTAGGACTCCCAAGCTCATTGAGCCTGCCCCACTGAGCCTTCGTTATCACTACTAGAGACATGGTTTCTAAAGCCTTTCACTCCTTCACTACCTTCACCAATGTGCTCTCTACTCGACGCATAAAGAGAGGTCACCTCCCACCATGGAGAGAATCTTATACTTGAAATCATGGAGAACAATTAAGAGAGAAATGAGCACTAGTCTCAAAGATTTTGGATTCTTGGATAGTAGTGATATGAGGAGAGTGATTCTTTATGAGGCCTACTATTTTGAGTACACAGTTCATTTAGTCCATAAAAAATGTACCGTGAAGTATAGTCCAATTTTTGGTGGCATGTATATAAATGAGAAGCAACATAGTTTATTTCTAAGTGTAATATCAAAACCTAGTGAATTATTGCAGTCATTATCTATTCTTGAGTAGAAGTGGGAAAACATCATAATGGATTTTGTTATCAGATTTTCTTGTTTTAGGCAAGTCCAAAAAATTGTATGAGTGGGTGTGGACATATTAATGAAGTCTGTTCATTTTTTTCATGTAAGATAGATAGATTTAGGCTTCATTTGGGACAACATTTTTATTGATTCTTAAAACAAATTTTTATTTCAAAAATTCAATTTTTTATACTATAAAGTTTCTTTAAGACGCAGTAAGAAATCCATCCCAAATGAAGCCTTAGTTGACAAGTTAGCTCAATTGTATGTAAGGGAAATTGTTAGATTCTATGGAATCTCTATGGTGATCATCTTTGACCATAATGATAGATTCACTTTCAAGCTATTCAAGAGTCTTTAGGAGGATCTAGGATCAAGATTGAATTTTAGTACTGCATTCCACCCTTAGACAAATGGGAAATCTGAATAGCCTATTGATCTATTAGAAGATCTGTTCAGACAAAATTGACCTATTTTTTCTACTTTGATAATGTTGAGTTTTTTGTTGTAGCTTACACATGCTATTTAGTTATGTAAAGATGGTATAATTTACTAAGGCATAAATCATGTTTTATGGAAGTGCACATATTGTGTCAAGTAGTAAAGTGATGAGAAGTGTATCATTCCCATGAAAGGACAAAACATTTTCTAAATTCACTTTAATAGTGCCTT